CACTCTGCTGCCAACATCCACAATATCTGCAGTGCCATTAAAGGGAGGGGATAATCAATCACCAGATGCCCGAGGCGACGGAGATGTTCCCATACCTGACACCTTTAAAAGCACAGCTATATATTGTAAGGGATCCAAACTTGTCACAGCAAAGCAGAATCCAGAGGAAATAAACATTTTGCTTGGATCCTTTTCCTCACTCAGAGGAAAATCTCTTACATCGAGTCGTAGAAGTGTGGAAGAAGTAAATCAAGCTTCTGTCATAGAAAATAAATTCCTCCGAAGATTTCTGAGAAGTTTCTGCTTCAGCCTTTCGACATCAATCATGTTTGAAACATCCCTCGGAGTCATTCATCACTCACCTGCTTCCTGTACTGACCTCAGATCAGCCTCAGGAAGGAGAACAGGTAATGAACCATCAACCCTAAAGAAACGTTACAATCAGATTTTCATCATAATATTTAGCAGTTCACATGAATTATTGGTGTCGTTCCCTGAGCGCTTCAACTTCTTGAGAACCATCATCTCAGAGCAGCGTCTTCGTCCTCTAGATCTACTGTCCTGCGGCTTCTAGATCATAGATGTCAAACTCCCGTCCTCCAATCATTGGAGGACGGGAGTTTGACACATGTGCTCTAGATGCACTGAGCTTCTCGCTCCATCTCTAAGGCAGAACCCAGACGGCCTGAGAAGGAAACTCACTCTGAGATCTCATTATTTCAGTCACTGCCTAGAACAGTGACTGATGTTTTGCTCAAATACGATTTTTAGTTCAAATACCTGTTTGATGCAACTGTAATCAGACTTTGCTGTTTATGGTCCCAAAGCGCTTTGAAAACTATTGGATATGAATCTGAATTACAACCAAAGATGTGGCACAAATCAAAGTATCCCGGACACTGGAAAAAAGTTGCTTTTGGGTCACATTTGCCTGTTGTGTGACCATAATAATAGACAAGGGTAGCAACATATGGTGACCAGTAAGTGGGAAGTTTCACCTTTAGGCTCAGATCTCTCTTTCCCTTGACAGACCGATACAGAGCTGCTCTCTGCATTTCTCTCATTCATGAACAAAACCTGGAAATACCTGAACTCCTCTGCTTGGGGCTGCTCTGTCACCAATGCGACAGCATCAAGATGTGAAAACTGTCCAAGAACACAATTCCAAGCCACATTCATGCATCAGACTGATGATGTTTGCAGGAAGATTAAACCGCCTCCATGAATGGTCGAGCTCCCTCCCTCTCTAATCTAGTGTGTCCTGCAACACGCATGAATCAGATGAGTGGTTAATGTCCAGACCTTTGCTAAACTTGGCTGAATTCGGCCTTTAGGTTTTCAGACTTTCTGCTTCACAAAGACTCAGAAACCAGAGAGCAGTGAAGAGGGCAGTGGGACACATTGGAGGAGCATTTTGACGTGTCTGGCCAGCGCAAGAAGCTCAACAGCTTACTGCCTCCTTAAGTGGATAAAACTATTTCAAAAGGGAAAGGCTTTCCCCCCACTCTTTTATCATTTTTGTTCTAAATGTGAGGCAAAATGGATGAACAAACTCATCTTTCACCGGGAGGAAGACGCTGTGAGTGAAATGGCTGATGGGAATTGGCAGATGAGGCTTTCAGGGGCCGTGTGTGTTTGAGCGCTCGTGTGCTGCATTGTCCTCGCTGAATGGAAGCTCAGCTACAATCCAACCACTAATTTACATAATGGAAGGGCTGCAGCGAATAAACAGCATGAGAAACCCAATCCAGCTTTCCAATCTAATCCAACTTTACGTAGCGACGATTACCAAATACTAGAGCAGACTGATGAATGTTTTCCGCTTCAGCAGGAAAACACTGTGATGCAAATAAGTTTTATTTCAGTAAGGAGTTAAAGCTAAATGTTCCTCAGCTTTTCGATAAATATGTTTGATTTGTGTTTCATTTGAAAATCTGAAGCACAGATCAGCTCTCCTGGAGTCCATGAGGAAGAAAAGGGAGAAACCGAGGAATATGGCCTCAAATGTCAGAGCCGCAGGGCTTTTCCAGCGAAAGGGAAAGTTTCATGGAGCGTTACACACAGAAATGCGATGTAAAGAGCTGCTGTGGCTCATTTTTCAGCATCACAAAGAGGCTGAGGCTACTCTAGATGATGAAGTCTATGCCAGTCTTTGGTAGCGCTCCGCTCCTCTGCACAGGCCCCGGTTTGTGGGGCAGATGTGATTTAGATGCCCCCACCCTGAGAAGCAGGAGTCCTCCCTTTCTGCAGATTGCCCAGCATATGGCCTGATTGTAAATACAGTGGAAACAAAACAAGAAGGGGCCTGGTTTCTACACAAATGTGCTCGAAGCTGTTTTTTCTTCCAGTGATCACAGGTTCAGGCTCAAAACAAGGATCGTTTTGAAGCCTTTGTCATCCACAAAGAGGCCAAAATTAAGAATTAGAGTACTGAAGGTTAACATGAACAAGGCATTTATATTTTTTTTTTGTTATGTTCATTTCCATGAATGAAATAAAGAATATTGTTTTAAAAAGCCTGAAAGCAAAAAATTGAGCACAGGACCACTAAGAATGATTTCACAGCAGGTTTTATGTCACTGCCTGACAACATGTCCTCTGAAGACAAAAGACTTGAACGCAAAGTTTGGAGAGCTTGAAATTTACACTTTCAAGGAAAATGTATATGTTAGCAAAGAATGAATGCTTAAAATAAGGATGGAAAAATGCATCTTTAGCTCTTTAATGAAGCTAAACATGCAGGAGAGTCATGTGAAGAGAAGACTGAATAATTTAATACAATGTTTAGACATCAGCAGATGTCTGAACTTTGGTGTCAGTGAAAAAAAACAATAATTTTTCTGTCAACAGCTAAAGACAGGGACAGACTTTATTAATGTCATCGTCCATACGTTGTAGTACCTTTCTGTTTGACTCCAAATACGCTTTTTCTTTCAAAATGTGTTTTTAATATTATTTATCTGCTTTGAAAAACAAAGGAGAGACCAACTGTGATTTAGATGTGTTTTCAGCAATAAAATATGACAAAGACGATAAAAAGTATTATCTTTGAACCTCACATATTCTTTTGTTATTTGGTCACTCTTAAATGTTACACATCAAACAAGTTTTAATATTAAAGAAAATACAAAGTGCCTTCTTTTGTTAAATCAGAAATTAGCTGTTATTAACCCTACATATACTTATGGGTCAGTTTTCCCTGTTGACTGTTACCTTCACAATAACAAAAACATCACATAGAAACTTGTCTGACCATATGAAGTAAACTGAAAATACACAAACACTTTTACATCACTTATAAGCAGCTTCAGCTTATAAGTGATGCATTACGACCTGCGGCCGAATTTCACAGCAGCAGAGGAGATGACAGCATTCAATGTGAGCATGAAACCTCTGCTATGTGATCCTGAGCCGTCTGTGTGGTGTGAACACTAAGCCACACCGTAAGCCCCCCATGCCGGTTCTGAGTAAACACTGGAGCAGAAACAGATACGGTCACTTCCAGAGAACAATGCGCTTGCAGTCAACAAGAGAAGATAAAAACAGGCTCTGTCAACGGCACAAATGTTGGAAACACCGAGGTGAGATAAAAATCCTCAGATCCTCCCAGACAAAGAGAATGAAGCAACATTATTCAAGTTTCACAGGTGCAGAGATTTCCTGCCAGTTTCTTATGAGGAAAAATGAAAATCAACTTCAAATTTTCCAGCATTCAGAGGAATATGCAGGACATGTTCCAGATATATAATATTTCTTTCAGTTTTATAGTTTGTGTGGAACTGTTGACATCACTGCTGATTTCATTCTGCTCCCATTTCACCGTTAAACCTGCAACTCAGCCATTTTCTTTGATGAGGCTCAAAAGAAACACGAGAAAAACCTGAAATTAAATGATCAATGCTGAGCATTGAACTGACAATGATTACGATTGAATTTGAATCAATCTTCACTCTAGTTTCTATTATTAAAATGTCTAAATCACTCCTCACAGTGTTTTATGTTTGTGGCAATGAAACTGCAACAAGTTGATATTTTGTGCCAGTCTACTTTGAACAGAGCAATATGACGAGTTTTATCAGTGCAGCTTTGAAAGACCCAATTTCTCTGCATAAGGCCGGAGTGACTCACTCTGACCCTGAAGGGCCGATGAACTGCAGGTTTTAGATGTGGCCTTGTTCTCACACAGCTGATTTAAATGACTAAATTACATCCCCAACAAATCTTCAAGTTCTCCAGCACACTGGAAATGTTTGATTCAGGTTTTTTGACCTGGTTGACATCTGAAGCTGCTTCTCCATGGATGTGGCTTTAACTGGTTCCACCCCAGGCAGATTTGTCTTCATTAGTTGATCCTGTGTGGTTGTTCCCCGATTTCATAAACACTTCAGGGGTGGTACAAGCCGCACTGAGCCATTTATCACATGCGAGCCATTTGATTGACAGCAGACTCCGTCTGTTGATTGGCCCATGATTTATGGCACTGGAAACTCCAAACAACAACATCTAAGCCACCGCAGTGGACCGACGGACACGGCGTCTGCTATCAGAGAGCCGCTCAGTGTGGAGGAGCGTAATTATGAGCAGCGCCAGGAACAGATGCGTCAACTTTTGGAAACTGTGATTTAGCAGCGATGCAAGCAGCACATCTCTGAGAAGAAACAACGAACTGAGAAACAGTGAGAACTGGTTCAGTTCTAGAGTGAAACAATAGAGAAATGGGTCAGAACATGTAGGACACCGACCTTAACCCCTACTTTGGGAACCACTGTTTTAAGGCTACTGTTGTAACAGACGGAGGGTCAAGAGGTTATTATCAGATAACCAAACTCTATTAATTTTGGTGGAAAATTGCCTTCATTTGGGGATGTTCAGTCAGAATCCCAATCAGAAAACTAGAAGGAGACTAAGAAACTTCTTCTTCTGTTAACTATGGTTTGAGCACATGCAGGAAGGAGGTTTTTAGTTTATCTGTTTGGGTGGATTGTTGTTGGCCGTCTTACTGAGCAGCTGGACTCCGCGGGTCAGACCGTAAACATCAATGAGGGCCCAGAGCGGCTCCGCCGTCCGAACTCCGCTGAAGAACAGCATGGGACTGGACTCGTTAATGCGGTAGAAGACCCTGCCCTTCTTGTCGACCCAGAAGGCGATGATGTTTCCCTCGTTGGCAAACTCTTCGGGCAGGGCTTTGGCCCAGAAGCCGCTCTGGGACACCAGATCGGGACAGGCGTACTTCGGCAGGTTCTCGGGGTTTATCCTGGAGGGGTCTTTGGAGGTGAAGCCCAGACGCAGAGCTCCACTCCAGCAGCACTGCTTTTTAGTGATCTGAAAGGAGAATAACATTCACTTTTACTGACGTCATTTATAAAAAGGGAGCTCATAGCAAATAGCTTTAAAAGAGGTCAGGAAGTACCTTGAGGCGGACTTGCTCGTACAGCGCGATGGGCCTGTTGCTGAAGGTGATGGCGTTGCAGAAGCTGGCCTGTCTCTTGACGGTCTTCTGGGCCAGGTCCATGACTATTTGGGATCCCTTGGTGTTTGGATGGAAAAGGAGCGGGCTGACCGGGAAAGGTCCGCCGACGCTGCCGCACTGGATGGGCAGACACCTCTTGGGTTTGTGGTGACATCGGTGCGACGTGGACGGGAACGGGCCAAGGGAGTCTGAGAACACAAACAGAACATGAACAATGAACATTAGGCTGTCAAAGTTTGTTTTTACTTTGGAATGTTTCACAAATACAAACAAACTCCCACATCTTTCAGTTTTTACAAATAAAAATGCGTTTGAAAACAAGCTCCTCTGTTTAACAACTGAACAAACAAACTGACAATTGAGCATAAAATGTAACATATTTCATCTACTTTAAAGGTTTTATTTGACCAAATTTGTCATTTTCCAAAGATGTTTGAATTTTGATCATTTCCATGTTGGTTTATTTATGCTCAATAGGTCTCAACATATTAGTTTAATCCTTTGTAGTTTATTTTTATGCTTTGTGAATTCATTTTTTGAATAATCAGTGTTTTTTTGTCTGCTTGGTTTCTTGATGAGTCGTATTTCATCGTCCTTTGTTTTAAATAGTTTTCCCCTGTTTTCCTCCAGCAGCAGCTGTTCCACATCACCTCTGATTATCTGATTGAGGCTTTTTGTTTTTCATTGTTTCTTTGCTCCACTTCCTGATAACCTTGTTTCAAGATCTGTAAGTTTTCCTATTTTCGTAAACCTCCAGCAGGCGTTTCTCAACTGGCTTTCTAAAAATAACAGACATGTCATTTCTGCATGAAAAAAAAATGTTTTCTTTGCAAACCCTTATAATTGAGCTTTTTAATCAAGTGCAAGCATAGAAGTCTGTGTGTTGTGGCGTGGAAGATGCAGCGCTCATGCATTAGTTAGGAGCAACATGCACTGGGGCCGATTTTTACTGAAATGCAAAATTAACTTCTAGAACTGAACTCAGGAGAAAACTGTGATTTCTTCCTGGAAGTTTAAACGTCTCCCTGAAAGTTTTATTATTATGACTTTTCAATCAATCCTGTAGGCTAGCATTAGAAACATTGTGTGGATTCAATCCAGGCTTGATTTCCTTATTACAGAACTAGATCTTAAGGTTTGGCTCATTTTTAACAATATTTGTAATGAGCAAAGGAACATTTATAAAAATGTTAAGTGTTAAATCTGAGAGAAGGAACCACAAAGCCACTAAATCTGTATTTGCAAATCGTGGACGAGTATCGCTTTGTTTCCACGGTCAGTGAAAACCACATATTTATTGGGAAGAAATCAAAGTTGAGGTTTTAATATTGCGATGCTGTTTAAAAGTGGAACTTTGCCACAGTAAGGCTACCTGGTAGAAATTACACACAAATAAAGAAAATAGATGTGATAATCATAAAATCATTGTGATTTAATGTGGGCAAAATCTGGGTATGCAGGGCAGCTTCAGAGCCCCAAACAAAAACCCAAAACTCTCATTTGACTCAATCCAAGTACAAAAACGAAACAATTATATTAAAAGTTCTCCCACTGCTTTGTTGGATTATAGGCCTATTCAGAGCTACCGTCATCCTGTTTTATCTCCTTTCTGATTGGCTCATTTCTGTGTGGAAAATAGTTTTTTTCAGGTTTGAGATTAACATGCTGTTGAACTTGGATATCCCATAAAGCAGTCTTTTTTCTTTTTCCCATTCCAGTGCATGTTTGGATAACCATCTATGGAAAGAAGAAAATGTGGATTATAAATCAGAAAGATCCAGTGAAAGATAATATGTTTCTTCCTTTATTGAAGTGTTAAAGAGAAAGCCGGGCGTTATTCTCTCCTCTCAGCCGCTTGCCTACAAAAACACGGCTGCAGTAGAAAGAGTCGAGGTGAAATTATGGTGAATGTTGTGTTTATGGTTGTGTGGATTCAATCCAGAATTGCTCTCCTTATCACAGAGAACTGCTAGATTTTAACAGAACAGCCCAGTGGTTGGAGCAGATGTTCTGTGGAGACCCGATAAGAACTCGGTGCCAACCGTCCCAGAATTCAGCTTGCTTTATGCCCTCTCCTCTTTGTCCAGTAATGACCCTTTGCACTTTTCCCCCCCGTTACCATGTCTACAGTCCAATCTGGCGGCAAAATAATAATAATAATAATAAAACAGAAGACGCCGCTGAAGCCTTTTGTCTTAAGCAGAGCCAACTCTGAGCAGCATGCATGTGCTGAATGAGGCGGGGACACGTGGTGGCAGCGCGGGCAGATTGAGCTGAATGCATTAGCCGCCTCTAAAGAGGCGCAGCTGCTGTGGAGGAAAACAGGCTACGTGTGAATTCATGTTCCTTAGCAACCCCCTTGTATCTGAACAGCTCCCTCTGCAGCCATCAGTTGGGACGCAGATGCCTTTTGTTTACTCACACCATGAAAATATATTTATAGACCGAGAATCTGGTCATCTGCAGCTTCTCTGTCTGTTTTGTCTGGAATCTGATCAACATCACTTTACAGAAACATCTCCCTTAATAACTTTAATGCTCCATTTTAATCAACCTTCTAAATGTCTGTGGCTGATATATTCAGAATTACAAACAAAATTACAAGTGCACTAAAGATGAGCTCATATTAAAACTTTTCTGCAGAGTTGAGTCTTGGTTTCCACAGTGGAGGTTCAGGTCTCAATGTGGGTTGTAAAATATCAAGTGAGTGGTCCTTAAAGGTTCATTTCCACTGTTCAGTCCGCTGTAATCGTGTCCTCAGAACATCCGGTTTGATTGGAGAGGTGTGAACGCGTAACTGAAGCGACGGGTGTTTAAAGTGATCCACGATTAGTTGAAGATGTCGGCCTGAATATGTTAAAATGTTACTATTAACTAAAACCGTGCTGTTTGTGACACGTCAAGAGTCAATGACTTAAAAAAATGCATATCTTATTCTATATTTTTCACCCTTAGAGGTTGTAATTTTTTCACCGGTGCAATGCATGTTGGGTTTTTAAAATCTGTTCTGTACCGGGATCTACAGAGTAAACACAGGAAGTTTGACGTTACCAGAGTTATTGTTTGTTTGGTGTAAATTTAGACAATGTCTCGCTGTGTGTAGGCTGTAATTAAAAAGAAATCAAATAAATAGTTATTTATTTTATGGTGAATCTGGATCATGTCCCACTGGGGAAAAAAGAAATGAGAAAAAAACCAGCAAACTTCCAAAGGACCCTCAGTTTCTCAACTCAAAGAGAGAAAAGGCTCAAAGTGACGATTTGCATGACGATTATCCAACGAAAATGGAATTTTCTATTAACATATTTACATTCTAAGTCCAGTCTTTACACAGTAATGTAAGCATAGAAAGATGCAATGCCCTCACCACGCCACTAGTTGGTGCTACATTCTTTGAAACTAAGTGTGGAGGCGTAAAAAAACCTGGAATTGTTGTGGCACTTGTTGGCGTTGTCAGTAGTTTATGTCTGTTATGTCTGTGGATTGTATGAACATGAGCTACAGATTCCTTAACAGAAAAGATCCATTTATTCTGTTCATGAGAAAACGGCACCAGTACGTTTTGGGGCCGTTGCACTCTGGAACCTGTTCTCAAACTGCCGTTGTCAGAAAAAACATTTGCTGTTTTCGTGTAAATGTACACTGCAAACACAACAATGCTTTAATTTTCACAAGAAATTGTTGTTGTGGAAACAAGCTTTTCTCCAGAAGACTTTGACTCAAAACAAGCTAAAAACCAAATCACGTGTCGACAGTTTTTATCCACAGAGCCAGGCCTAAACCAACATTAAAAGTCGTCTTAATGAACTGATGTGATAATGTTGGTAACCAATTTAACAACGTTTTTGTGTGTTTTATTCTTTTTGTACTTTTAAACTGTAAACAATGTTTGGAGGTTGAATTTAAATCCTAACTTTCAAGTGATGAACTATGAATATAAACTGATTCAGTTTGATTCAGGTGAGTTTATAACTATTTTCACAGAGAACTGACTCAGCAGAACCAGACGGGTCAAACCTATTTTGATTCAAATAACAGGGTGAAACTCACACTGACTTTCTAAGAAATATGCAGCTCAGGGAAACAAAAAGCTAAAACTGGCATCACAGAGTCAGCTGTTCTGTAATGCAGGTAAATCATTTCCATTCATAACTTCTTAGTACTTACTTGGGTGTAACTTTCCAAGAAAAAGAGGCAAATAAAACCATTCAAGAAATAGAAGAAAAGACATAAAAGGTGGCAAAAATAGGATTTACAAAGAGTCTTACATAAATGATAAAGGAAAGAAAAACAATGTAGAAACTAAAATATCAAATTCAATCTATGCAAGTTTAGTGTGTTGCTAAATTAATTTTCAGATGAAAAATAACCTTTCAGAGAATAGGACTTGTTAGAGACTAGACTATAACTACAGTTTGGTAGCTCAGAGAAAAACACCCCCATCCTGTTCAAAGTGCTGCTGCAGCTTCATTTGTCCCAACTTAAGTTGTGAACCGGTCCTGCAGCAAAGTCTGCAGCTGAAGTCTGCAGCTGCATGGACCTGCAGCAAAGTCTGCAGCAAAGTCTGCAGCTGAAGTCTGCAGCTGCATCGAACAGTTTGTTGAATCATTTTACACAGAAAATGATGTAATTGACAACACACCTCAAAGAAAGAAAAGTTTAAAAATATATACAAAATCTTTGTTAATATTTTCAAAATTACAAAGTACATTAGTTTTTAGCATTAATTATGAAAACTTGAGAAAAAACAGAACTTAAATGTTTCTTATTATGACGACAGTTTTTTTCCAGAAATTGAAGGCAGAATTAATTTAGTGGAGAATCAGAGAAAAAATACATGAACTGAACTTTTGAATACAGAAAACACACAGGATGAAAACATGAAAAAATTATGACAACATCTCAGGAGCTCTGTGAAGAATTCAAAGCGTCTTGTTATTTAAACTGATTGTAAGAGAAGAGAGACTTTTTCCATGCCACATTTAAAATGTTTTACAGTGTTTTTTTACCTGGGTGTTTTTACTGTCGAATGATTTTCTATCGTTCTCAGGTACTTAAATTGTTCAGACACTCAAACCAGATTTCCTAGTTTGCTTTTGCAAGTGATGTGTAGCGACAAGCCAGTACCACCTAGCAGAAGCGCCGCCTCTGGGCTCTGAGTCAATCTGTGTTAAAATGGTTTCTTTCT